ATTATTATATTCATTTAATCAATGTATTGACAAATTCATTCAATATGTTTTATTAGACTCATCTAATAAGTATATGGATACATCTATATAATTTATATGGTTAGACTTGTCTAATTAGTATATGAACAAACTTGTCTAATGTATATTGCAAAGCTCGTCTAATCATAGAATGGATAAAATCGTTTAATGTGTATTAATATATTAATCTAATATGTGTATGAACTGACTTGTCTAACGTATAATGTTAGACTGATATAATTAGTGTATAGATAAACACGACTAATATGTTTTACACGACTCATCTAATCAGTATATGAACATACTCATCTAATGTGTATTCCTAGACTCGTCTAATCAATGTATAAAATGACTCATTTAATCAGTATATAGACTATTAAAAGGTTTAAAGAATAATTTTGATGTATTATTTCAAATAATAGAGCACCATATATATAGATACAAGGATCCTATAATTCTTCATCTATTAAAGAAATGACAAGTGCATATGCATAAATTATAATAATATCTAAATTATAACTAACACAATATTTGATTGCCTAGTATTCATTAATAGAATATTTGACATATCTTAACATAGACAAACTCGTCTAATATGTATTGTTAGACCCTGTGTAATGTTTTTTGTTATACTCATCTAATCATATATAAACAAACTCGTCTAATATAAAATGTAAGATTCATCTAAGAAATAAATGATCATACTTGTCTAATGTTTATTAATAAACTCCTCTAATGTATGTGTTAAAAGACTTATCTAATGTATATTACTAGAGTAATCTAATAAATATATGAATGACCCCTCTAATATGTATTATTAGACTCATATAATCAATACATATACAATCTCGTCCAATGTCTTTTACTTTTATCATCTAATCAATGTATTCCTAGACTTGTTTAATATTTTTTGTTATATTCGTCTAATCAACATATGAAATGACTTGTCTAATTTTTTTTTATAGTCATCTAATTATTGTATGGATAATCTCATGTAAATCTTTTTCATATTCTTATAATAAGTGTATGGAAAGATTCATTTGAAGTGTATTATTAGACTTGTCTAGTCAATACATCGATAACTAATCTAATATGTATTGGTATATACTTGTTTACTTAATATATGGACACATTCGTATAATGTGTATTGTTAGAGTTATCTAATAAGTCTATATTCAAACTCGTGTAATGTGTATTGAAAAACTTATTTAGTGTGTTGCTGCTAGAATTGTTTAATTAATGTATGAACATAGTCATTCAATCAATGTATATTCATTTAATTTTATTGCAAAACTTGTTAACTAGTTAATAGACAAACTCATCTAATGTGTATTAATAGAATCATATAATTTATGTATGGATAAACATACATTTTCAATATATACTAAAAACTTGTCTTTATAGTGTATGGACAAACTCGTTTAATGTAGAGCTGTCAAAACGGGCCACCCGGCCCAACCTGACCCAGCCCACCACGGGTTGGTCACTTAGTGAGTCAACACAATCCTACTCATTTATTAGCAAGCCAGAAAAATTCGAGCTCGGCTCGACCCACCACGGGTTGGTGGGTAAACAGGTTGGCTGACTGATTCACTTAATTACAATTTTTTTAAATAAAAAGAAATTACAAATTTTCTATAATACAAATCTAAACAAATTTCACTCCCAAATTTGACTCACGACATGGGTGTTTAATTAATTTTGAAAATAAGGAACTTAAATAATTTTTTCAAGCAAAAACAAAATAATAAATATTTTTTTATAAAATTAAAATTAAATTTTAATAAAATAAAATAAAGTAAGTAGGTTAGTGGGCCAACCCGGCCCACCACGGGTTCAACCCGCATGAGCTGGGTTTAAACGAGCCGAGTTGAAATCTGACTTGCATAAAAAAAATACAATTTTTTCTAACCCAACCCGGCTCAAACACGTGGTGGGCCGGGTTGGCTCGCGGGTTATGACCCATTTTGACAGCTCTTTGTTGCTAGACTTGTTTAATTAGCGTATGGAAAGACTCGTCTAATAGGTATTCCTAGATTCGTCTAATCAATGTGTGGAATAATTAATCAAATATTTTTTTCTATACTTGTTTAATATTTGTATGGACAAATTCAACTAATATATATTGTTAAACTTATCTAATCAATGTATTGACAAACTTGTTTAATATTTTTTTATACTTCTCTAGTAAATGTATGCTTAAAGTCATGTAATCAATTTATGGAATACTCCATATAATGTTTTCTTATTATACTTATCTAATTAATATATAAACATACTCTTTTATTATGTATTTTTAGACTCATGATTTTTGTTATACTCATCTAATTAATGTATATACAAACTCGTTTAATGTGTATATTTTTATACTCATTGTATTTTTAAAATAACCAAATTAAAAGTGCATTTTAAAATATTAAAATAAAAATAACCAAATTAAAGTATTAATAGTAAAATTTTAAAATAAAAATAACCAAATTAAGGTATTAATAGTAAAATAAGTGTTGTAAAAGATGAAATAGAAACTTAACCCAAAAAGTTATAAAATGTAAGTAATGAGATGTGGGAATGGAAACAGTAAATGAATGCCAAAAGTGTGGGAGTGCAACTTAGTAAAACGTGGGGTGCAGTGAGAGTGTAAAATATTAAAAATAGGGTGCATGGAGTAAAAGTTAGTGCAGAGAGAAATGGTGGGGTTGCACGAAGTAAAACACTTGTCCAGAACCAATTTTTTTCTTCAATTTCAAAACCCCGAGTCACAAAGGAAGCCTTCCACTTCCTCAAGTTCAGCTGGTGTTTCGCCCTACACCTCCTATGATTACACCTCTAAATTTTAGATTTCTCTTTTAATTAATAAAGTTTGGTGAATATTATCATAGTAACTGCATTATTAATTATTATTATTATTTATTTATAAATTTATTATCATATATTAAACATTTGTATTATGCTTGTTATTTTGTTTTGGTGTACATAGGGTTTATTTTTCATGGTTTCTTTTATGTGTTAGGTTGGAATGGAACACTAGTAAAGCTTTACGAGAAGAATATGAGAAGAAAGTTATGCAATTACTAGAGACATGCATGATAAACAATGCACAGATGTGGTTTTGTAGTGTTATTTTCTACATTCAATGCTATGAAATATATGCTAGTTTTGGTAAACTAACAATACAAATGTTTATTTAGACAGAAAAATATAATTTGAAAATTAAGTGTTGAAAAATCATATTATATTCTGTCAAAAAAAATATAAGTGAAAGGGGTGTGTATAAGTAAAATTAGGAAGTTTGGTTAGCACTTAAATTAGAAAAGTTTCATGGCCTAGTTACTCATCCTAGGGTGTTTCATCCTACACCTCCAAACAATTTATCCTGCAACTCCAAATATTTCAAAAACACAATTCTACCCCTAATTAAAAGCAATTAAAATGTTGTTAATTTTTAATAGAAGGAAAAAAATGTTTGACCATATTCTTTTAACAACTTTCACCTTTCAACTTTCTCTTTTCTTCAAAAGCTATTATTTCTATTTGAATCTCAATTTTTCTTTTCTTTGTTTTCTTTGATTTCTCTAAATATCCAGTTATCCACATCCAGGTTTGCTTTCTAAATTTTGTCATTATAATTTTTTTTTATTTTAATAAATTTTATTGTTTGATACATATATTTATTTTAATTAATTAATAATTTATATTTTGATTAAAGGCTATTAGTCCATATACTTCATTCGTTGCCATTAATAACACAAAAGCAACAGCAGAAACCATTAAAAAATCAACACAGACAGCAACAACACACCAGATCATGTAAACCAAATCAATATACCATTGCTAATCTCAGCAAATTTCCTATTCGCTTCTTCATTGCCCGAGTTCTTATTAGGATGATATTTCAAGGCGAGCTTCCGATAAGGCTCTTTATCTAATCGTCCGATGCACCCTTCGACACTGAAGTATATAGTAATAGCTCTTCCTGCAACGGGTTGAAACGAAAATACACATATATAAGCAAAGTGTAATGCAGAACAAATTAAGTGTACATTAGAGTTTAAAGGAGAGAAAGAGAGGTACCTAGCAATGGCACTAAGAGAATAACAGAGAGCGCAAAGAAAGAACAAGAGATTGACTCTTCGATGCGCCATGAAGAGATTTGGATCTCTCCGAAAGGGAATTTTAATTTTAGGGCTCTGCAATGTCCCTCAGATCTCATTGGAATCGAAATAAAAATTGAGGGTTAGAGTTTGGGAATTCCTGTTTAAGGATTATTGTGCTTGTAATGCGTTGCGTATGTATCGTGTATGTGGGTGGTGTATCTATCTTGCAGTGGCGGACCTCAAAGTGATCCCGCCAAGACTTGACTACGAAGTATGGAGTCGACAATACGCTTTGCTTTGCAATGGGTTCGTTTCAAAACTGGCCAATCATTGTGAGCCTTTAGTTGTTCCTACCAATCATAGCTCTCAAGTCGATTTTTCCATAACACAACAATAATAGTTCTTCATATATTTTAGGCTTAATAGCCTCTTTTCTCCCCAGTTTCGTTGGATAATGTCAATTCAGTCCCTCTTTTTAAAAGTGTTTGAAATGGATCCTCACATTTAAAATTTTGAGTCAAATTAGTCCCTTCCGTTAAATATAACCAAACGGAGTTAATGGGGTGATAATCTGGCAGCAATTAGTGGTTACATGTCATAATTTACTTGTGTGCGTGCTGGCGTCTTAGATCAACTTTGACTTAGATGAACGAGGCCAATGAGACAATGTCAAGTGTCAGAACCTTTCCCACCCAAAATTAGGGTTTCAGATTGGAAAAAAGGAAGCTATTGCGTTGTGATTGCTCCCTACGCTATGACGAAGAAAGATGGTTGCTAGTGGTGTGTGGAGGAAAACTTGCGATTTGGCCATGGAGGTTTCAAATAGCTTCACGCAATTAGGGTTCATCGCGACTTTGGGGGTTGATTTCTGATTATGGTTTTCTATAGGCTGAAGAAGAAACTCACGCAAGGAGATTGCGAGTTTGCGAGCTCTCTGTTGATGATAGTGGAGGATTCCTGTGGTGGTGGTCGTGGAAGCGCGACATGGATGAGAAGACGCTCGCACAACGAAGGCTCGTAATTGATTAAGAGTTTCTGCGTTCTCGAAATTTTCAGATTCGTGATGAAAAATATGAATGCTGGAGGGAATCTTACAGAGTTGCTATCACATTTTTCATTAAAATAAACACATCAAGATTGATTGTAATTTTATTTATGAAAATATCAAGATTGAATTTGTTATTTTTACTATCAACTAGTAGATATTTTACTAAATCATAACAAAAACTTAAAATTATTATATTTGTTAAAATTGAGTACACATTATTTATATACACGAGATTAGAGAAAAATAATAAATGTAATAAACTTTAGTTTATTTTTTTTATAATTTATATATATGTGGCCCTACTAATGACTTCATCTCCATGGCTTGGGTAAGTTAATATTCACTTTATCTGCTATATGTGATAAATGAATGAAGGATACAATGAATTTAGATGTGTAAACCAATGGCACAAAACGTTTTGGTCCTAAAAAGCATTTTAAGATGTTACGAATAATCATTTTAGTCAACAGTCAACTATTAGAAAGATATAATAGGAAGTATAAGAGTGCATTCATAGAACGATTCTCACTTATTTTAAACTGTAATAATATCATCATACTGTTTTCCTATTTAGGAGTACTGTAAGGAGAAATCATAAAATAAAACAAGTGATGATAAGAATAGATAAGAAAATTAGGTACATAGAAAGAAATACACGTATCTTTTGTAAGAAGGGTTACGTAATTAAATATGTAATATCTATTATTTATTATATTTATTAAAAGTATTTATGAACTAGAGATAAAGTCAAATTATAATATATAAATAAAATGTAAATATCATCTTAAAATCATTTTCTAATAATTTAAATTTATGAGTTAAAACTTTTGAAAATTTCGGTTCTAGAAATTGAATACCCGTTGAATTAGCGTTCAAAATGCAGAAATTGAGTAGAACCGACTTTCCCTGATTGAGCTGTCAGTTGGATAAATAAACGAAGAAACACTAAAACTTGAGAGATCTTGTGGTCCAAAAATTTTACAACAAACTTGAAAGTGAGATTACTTNACATTTAAAATTTTGAGTCAAATTAGTCCCTTCCGTTAAATATAACCAAACGGAGTTAATGGGGTGATAATCTGGCAGCAATTAGTGGTTACATGTCATAATTTACTTGTGTGCGTGCTGGCGTCTTAGATCAACTTTGACTTAGATGAACGAGGCCAATGAGACAATGTCAAGTGTCAGAACCTTTCCCACCCAAAATTAGGGTTTCAGATTGGAAAAAAGGAAGCTATTGCGTTGTGATTGCTCCCTACGCTATGACGAAGAAAGATGGTTGCTAGTGGTGTGTGGAGGAAAACTTGCGATTTGGCCATGGAGGTTTCAAATAGCTTCACGCAATTAGGGTTCATCGCGACTTTGGGGGTTGATTTCTGATTATGGTTTTCTATAGGCTGAAGAAGAAACTCACGCAAGGAGATTGCGAGTTTGCGAGCTCTCTGTTGATGATAGTGGAGGATTCCTGTGGTGGTGGTCGTGGAAGCGCGACATGGATGAGAAGACGCTCGCACAACGAAGGCTCGTAATTGATTAAGAGTTTCTGCGTTCTCGAAATTTTCAGATTCGTGATGAAAAATATGAATGCTGGAGGGAATCTTACAGAGTTGCTATCACATTTTTCATTAAAATAAACACATCAAGATTGATTGTAATTTTATTTATGAAAATATCAAGATTGAATTTGTTATTTTTACTATCAACTAGTAGATATTTTACTAAATCATAACAAAAACTTAAAATTATTATATTTGTTAAAATTGAGTACACATTATTTATATACACGAGATTAGAGAAAAATAATAAATGTAATAAACTTTAGTTTATTTTTTTTATAATTTATATATATGTGGCCCTACTAATGACTTCATCTCCATGGCTTGGGTAAGTTAATATTCACTTTATCTGCTATATGTGATAAATGAATGAAGGATACAATGAATTTAGATGTGTAAACCAATGGCACAAAACGTTTTGGTCCTAAAAAGCATTTTAAGATGTTACGAATAATCATTTTAGTCAACAGTCAACTATTAGAAAGATATAATAGGAAGTATAAGAGTGCATTCATAGAACGATTCTCACTTATTTTAAACTGTAATAATATCATCATACTGTTTTCCTATTTAGGAGTACTGTAAGGAGAAATCATAAAATAAAACAAGTGATGATAAGAATAGATAAGAAAATTAGGTACATAGAAAGAAATACACGTATCTTTTGTAAGAAGGGTTACGTAATTAAATATGTAATATCTATTATTTATTATATTTATTAAAAGTATTTATGAACTAGAGATAAAGTCAAATTATAATATATAAATAAAATGTAAATATCATCTTAAAATCATTTTCTAATAATTTAAATTTATGAGTTAAAACTTTTGAAAATTTCGGTTCTAGAAATTGAATACCCGTTGAATTAGCGTTCAAAATGCAGAAATTGAGTAGAACCGACTTTCCCTGATTGAGCTGTCAGTTGGATAAATAAACGAAGAAACACTAAAAATTGAGAGATCTTGTGGTCCAAAAATTTTACAACAAACTTGAAAGTGAGATTACTTTCTTCCTTTTTCCAAACATTTTAGACAAAGACTCAACGAAACAATAATAGACCCATGGAATTCAACCTTTGTCTTATACCCTAATATATAGAAAATAATAACCCTTCATCAATGAATTATTGTGTAAAAACAAGACAAGAAACACGCATAACAATCAATTTGGCAAAGAATAAAAACATAGAAAAACTTAACAATCATATCTCACACAAATAAGTTTGAAGGATTTATTAATTCCTCGTAAAATCATAAAATTATATAAATAATTTAGAAAGAAATTAATTAATTTTAAAAAAATAATGGATTCGAATATAGATTTGTAAAAAAAATTAGAAAATATAGATTTTTAGATTAAAATTTACAAAATTTCAAACATTTAGATTTAAAATGCAGTCAATCCGTTTTTCATATCCAAATGTGAGTCTATATGAATTAGGTACAGAGAATTTGGCCACGATTATTTAGTTTGAGAGTTTGAATATCTGAATCAGTTATTTGAACGTTGAAACAAGTGTCAAAAGTGGGTATCTTCTGTGAAAGTTCCTTCTATGCCACGTTTGTTTGTTTCGAATGATGACGGCAATAAGCAGGTGAAGATTCACGACTACCAGAAAAATAAACAAACAAATCGCCAAATTAAAAACAATTTTAAACTTTTTGCGATAAATTAGGAACAAAATTCTAAAAGTAAATCATAATCTATTATAGAGTTTCAAATAATTGATTATACATAATATTTTTAAATTTTCTATTAATATTTGTATTTTTATTTATTTATACTATTATATAAATAGATTTTAATTTATATTTTTATTTTTCAATTTTACATTTTAATAAGTAATTATTTATGTAATATATCTCAGTTTAATAGATTCAACTGCTAACTTGAACTATTATAAATTATGTGTTAAGTATTGATCATCATATATGCTTATAATATGTATTTAAAGTTTTTTTTTATGAATCTCAATAATATATTTTTCATAATATATAAAATTTTTCAATAAGAAAATATCCAATATATATATACACACACACTCTAGCTATCATATTTAAAAGAAGAAAAACTTATAAATAATCAAAATGATTAAAATAAACAATCATTCACAAACACTAACTTCATTTAATACATTATATAAGTAAACTATAATAATTAGCTGGGAAGAATTTTGTGTATTAAATAAAAAGTTATGTCCTATCATAAGTATTTTTTAATAACTAATTATTTATTTCAATTGAAATGTTAATAACTCATTATTTATTTTCAATTACTTTAGAAAAATATTCAAATACAATAATTACTATATTTTTTTAATAATGATGAAAAACATTTCTTTAAATACATATCTCTAATCAAATATTCTAATGTTCAAAGTGAAGATTCATATATCTAGGACAGTGTTCAACATTTCAGTTTAATCTAATTGTTAATGAAAAGAGTATCCCAATTTTTCCAAGATTACTTAGAATCCAACCCTAGTGAAAGGTTGGTTCAACCAACAAGCAAACATTTCTTCATAATTTTGATCCTAACCTAGAAAAGGACTAGCTCGTTCAACAAGGCATAAACTAGACATGAAATTCTTCATAATAAAAAGTATCCCAAACCCTAAAAGAGTGTTTTTGTTATCAATAAAAAAAAGTAAATACATTAATTATAATAAATGAATAAATAAATGATAAAATATAATATAATTAAAATAACAATAAAAATTAGAAGATAATTTCTTTTTAATCAACTCCTTTTTTATTTAAGTGGGTTTTCGTGAACTCAAAAATAATATCACTGAATTCAGGTTATATAGCCATGATTAAGAATCTGGTCTTTTTGGCAAACTCACATCACCTCCCAACTCATATTTTTATGCATAGATAGAAGTAACGTCAACCTTTAATAACTTACATACTTAAAAAGTATCCGTTTCTTAAGATGTAAATGATTAATGTTTTTAAGAACTTATTTCAAGATACAATAAGATTTTTTTAAATGTTTCTAATTAAGAAATTCAAAACTAAAAATCAAATTTATAAGAAGGATTGATTTTTTCTGAGAAACTTCTCAGGTGCATGGTGGACGGATTTTTTCTGCTCCGGTAAAGAAGGAACACGCCGAAAAGGAGGACAAAAACCAGTTTTTTAATAATCCTGTTTTCACAACATGCTTCTACTTATATATAAACCCCTTACTATACAAAATAATAATGTAAGAATTAAATTCCCAAATTAAAGAGACAACTCTACACCCTTCTAGCAAAACCCCTCCACAAGGTAAAAGTAACTTCGTTTATGTCTTGTATGTTTCCACATTAGTCACAAAATTCAGCTAAAAAAATTAGTACACATGATCCAATATGAAAATGAAATTACAAAATAGGTTTAATATATAATTTTAATTTCTAAACTTATATCCAAATTCAAATTTGTATGTTTTAAACTTGTTATATTTTGTTTTTTAAACTTAAAAATAAATGTATATAATTCTTTCAATCTAATTATCTTAAATTTTTTTATTTTGTACTTGTCAAATATATTTCCTTTGATATTTAAATCGTGTAACCTTTTAACACCTTACAACTTAATTGTTAATATGAAACTCTAATTTAATAAGTTTTAAAAAAATAATGTCGTCAGTTAAAAAAAATGTATCAAAATTTAAACTTAAAATATAGATAATTTTCAAAGGCTAAAATCCTATTTTGATCCTCTAATTTTTATAAAAAGTTCTATTAGACTTTTAATTTTTTGGTTCAATTTATTCTTAAATATTTTAAAGATGCTCCTATTAAGTAATTTTCGCTATATTAACATTACATTTCTGTTAAAGTTTATATATCAAATCACTTTACTAAAAAATAAAATTAATTTAAATATTTAAATCTTTTAGATAAGGTGATTTAATATAAAAATTCTAATATAACAAAAATGACCGTGAATATTTATAAAAATTAAAAAAAGTTAAATTGAATGAAACAAAAATTAAGAATTTAATTACATTTTCATAAGAATTAAAAGAGAAAAATAATATTTTAACCAATTTTTAAAATATATTTAGAAACCAGAAAAGATAATTCGTATAAAAAAGTTTCACATGGATGATTGCGGTCGAAGTTCACAGTATCGAGGACCTACAGCAGTCATAGTTTGGTAAAATGAGATGCACAACACTGACTTTAGGTGTGAATTTGAAGATTTAAACACAGCCGAAAAACAAGCCCTGCATCACGCCTACGAAAAATAATGATGTTTCTCAAGTGACGACAGCTTTCTATTTCGGTCTCATATATACCTCTATCATCATTAGACTGACTGTCGCTAAATCCTATCATAAACATAATACCTTTTACTATAAATACAAACCTAAGGAAGCATCTTCTCACAACCCTAATTTCTAAATATAAAAACTCAAGATCATGGATGAGCAACACGAAAGTCAACCTTCTTCAACCAAAGTCGACAGAAAGATTGTAGAGAAAAACAGGCGAAGCCAAATGAAGAATCTTTATTCTGAACTCAACTCTCTTCTCCCTAGTTATAACCCCAACGTCTGTTTTTTGTTTTGTTTATCCATAAAACCTGAAAACTTTTTATATTATGTGATGAATACTGATATGATGTAGTTTTTTGATGAATTAACTCAGCAAGTGGTGGCAGTGCCTGATCAAATAGATGAGGCGACGGAGTACATCAAAAGGCTGGAGGAAAAAGTGAAGACGGCGAAGGAGAAGAAAGAAAGGCTAATGGAAAGTAAGAGAAGTGGAAGTGGTTTATCGAGTGGTTTTGAAACAAGAGGAAGCGAAAAGCCGCCAAAAATGGAGATTCATGTAAAGGGTTCTGTGCTTCAAGTCATTCTAACATGTGGGGTCGATAACCACTTTGTTTTCTGTGAAATTATCAGAATATTGCGTGAAGAGAATGTTGAGGTAATCACTACCAGTTATACAATTGTTGGAGATTCAGTGATTCATGTCGTGCACGGGGAGGTTAGTATATATATCTATGTCTTAATTCATCTTTAAAATAAAACCATGAAGAAATCTATAACCATTTTTCTCTATTTCAATACTTAGGTTGGGCAATCTATGATCCATTCTGGAGCTAGCAAAGTGAGTGAGAAGCTGAAATGGTTCCTAAACGGATCCATCTCTAATGTAGAAATGGAGCCTGGAACCTTATGGGGTTCTGAAATTGGAGCTACTCTTCCATGGGTTCTTCTAGATCCTACCCCACACAATGCCTTACAACCAAATCCTTAGTGAAATTAAAAACATTGAAAACAAAACATAAATTATGTGAGCTGAAATTAAGGGTAATGCCTTTAGCCTCTGGTGTAAGAAAAAAAGACATGATTTCCAAAAAAGGAAAATGGTGTTATGTTGTTACCAGTCGCATTATTTCCATTACAATGAGTACTTCTTTATTTATACAAATGTTAATACCCACTGATTATGATTGTAATAAGTGTTACTTGATTTTATCCAAAAATAAGAAATAAGGTCTTACTGTCTTGATCATAAGTGTCGAGATCATTAGGTTAGTAAAATTTTAAAAAATTAATATTTTTTCATCAACTAAAACAAATATTTTAAATAAGAATAATTAGATTGTTCTAACTCGTACATTATATATAAAAGGAAAAAAAATAAAAGACAGATGAAAAAATATCTNTAATAATGATGAAAAACATTTCTTTAAATACATATCTCTAATCAAATATTCTAATGTTCAAAGTGAAGATTCATATATCTAGGACAGTGTTCAACATTTCAGTTTAATCTAATTGTTAATGAAATGAGTATCCCAATTTTTCCAAGATTACTTAGAATCCAACCCTAGTGAAAGGTTGGTTCAACCAACAAGCAAACATTTCTTCATAATTTTGATCCTAACCTAGAAAAGGACTAGCTCGTTCAACAAGGCATAAACTAGACATGAAATTCTTCATAATAAAAAGTATCCCAAACCCTAAAAGAGTGTTTTTGTTATCAATAAAAAAAAGTAAATACATTAATTATAATAAATGAATAAATAAATGATAAAATATAATATAATTAAAATAACAATAAAAATTAGAAGATAATTTCTTTTTAATCAACTCCTTTTTTATTTAAGTGGGTTTTCGTGAACTCAAAAATCATATCACTGAATTCAGGTTATATAGCCATGATTAAGGATCTGGTCTTTTTGGCAAACTCACATCACCTCCCAACTCATATTTTTATGCATAGATAGAAGTAACGTCAACCTTTAATAACTTACATACTTAAAAAGTATCCGTTTCTTAAGATGTAAATGATTAATGTTTTTAAGAACTTATTTCAAGATACAATAAGATTTTTTTAAATGTTTCTAATTAAGAAATTCAAAACTAAAAATCAAATTTATAAGAAGGATTGATTTTTTCTGAGAAACTTCTCAGGTGCATGGTGGACGGATTTTTTCTGCTCCGGTAAAGAAGGAACACGCCGAAAAGGAGGACAAAAACCAGTTTTTTAATAATCCTGTTTTCACAACATGCTTCTACTTATATATAAACCCCTTACTATACAAAATAATAATGTAAGAATTAAATTCCCAAATTAAAGAGACAACTCTACACCCTTCTAGCAAAACCCCTCCACAAGGTAAAAGTAACTTCGTTTATGTCTTGTATGTTTCCACATTAGTCACAAAATTCAGCTAAAAAAATTAGTACACATGATCCAATATGAAAATGAAATTACAAAATAGGTTTAATATATAATTTTAATTTCTAAACTTATATCCAAATTCAAATTTGTATGTTTTAAACTTGTTATATTTTGTTTTTTAAACTTAAAAATAAATGTATATAATTCTTTCAATCTAATTATCTTAAATTTTTTTATTTTGTACTTGTCAAATATATTTCCTTTGATATTTAAATCGTGTAACCTTTTAACACCTTACAACTTAATTGTTAATATGAAACTCTAATTTAATAAGTTTTAAAAAAAATAATGTCGTCAGTTAAAAAAAAATGTATCAAAATTTAAACTTAAAATATAGATAATTTTCAAAGGCTAAAATCCTATTTTGATCCTCTAATTTTTATAAAAAGTTCTATTAGACTTTTAATTTTTTGGTTCAATTTATTCTTAAATATTTTAAAGATGCTCCTATTAAGTAATTTTCGCTATATTAACATTACATTTCTGTTAAAGTTTATATATCAAATCACTTTACTAAAAAATAAAATTAATTTAAATATTTAAATCTTTTAGATAAGGTGATTTAATATAAAAATTCTAATATAACAAAAATGACCGTGAATATTTATAAAAATTAAAAAAAGTTAAATTGAATGAAACAAAAATTAAGAATTTAATTACATTTTCATAAGAATTAAAAGAGAAAAATAATATTTTAACCAATTTTTAAAATATATTTAGAAACCAGAGAAGATAATTGGAATAAAAAAGTTTCACATGGACCGGTCGAAGTTCACAGTATCGAGTAGTAGTAGGAGGACCTACAGCAGTCATAGTTTGGTAAAATGAGATGCACAACACTGACTTTAGGTGTGAATTTGAAGATTTAAACACAGCCGAAAAACAAGCCCTGCATCACGCCTACGAAAAATAATGATGTTTCTCAAGTGACGACAGCTTTCTATTTCGGTCTCATATATACCTCTATCATCATTAGACTGACTGTCGCTAAATCCTATCATAAACATAATACCTTTTACTATAAATACAAACCTAAGGAAGCATCTTCTCACAACCCTAATTTCTAAATATAAAAACTCAAGATCATGGATGAGCAACACGAAAGTCAACCTTCTTCAACCAAAGTCGACAGAAAGATTGTAGAGAAAAACAGGCGAAGCCAAATGAAGAATCTTTATTCTGAACTCAACTCTCTTCTCCCTAGTTATAACCCCAACGTCTGTTTTTTGTTTTGTTTATCCATAAAACCTGAAAACTTTTTATATTATGTGATGAATACTGATATGATGTAGTTTTTTGATGAATTAACTCAGCAAGTGGTGGCAGTGCCTGATCAAATAGATGAGGCGACGGAGTACATCAAAAGGCTGGAGGAAAAAGTGAAGAAGGCGAAGGAGAAGAAAGAAAGGATAATGGAAAGTAAGAGAAGTGGAAGTGGTTTATCGAGTGGTTTTGAAACAAGAGGAAGCGAAAAGCCGCCAAAAATGGAGATTCATGTAAAGGGTTCTGTGCTTCAAGTCATTCTAACATGTGGGGTCGATAACCACTTTGTTTTCTGTGAAATTATCAGAATATTGCGTGAAGAGAATGTTGAGGTAATCACTACCAGTTATACAATTGTTGGAGATTCAGTGATTCATGTCGTGCACGGGGAGGTTAGTATATATATCTATGTCTTAATTCATCTTTAAAATAAAACCATGAAGAAATCTATAACCATTTTTCTCTATTTCAATACTTAGGTTGGGCAATCTATGATCCATTCTGGAGCTAGCAAAGTGAGTGAGAAGCTGAAATGGTTCCTAAACGGATCCATCTCTAATGTAGAAATGGAGCCTGGAACCTTATGGGGTTCTGAAATTGGAGCTACTCTTCCATGGGTTCTTCTAGATCCTACCCCACACAATGCCTTACAACCAAATCCTTAGTGAAATTAAAAACATTGAAAACAAAACATAAATTATGTGAGCTGAAATTAAGGGTAATGCCTTTAGCCTCTGGTGTAAGAAAAAAAGACATGATTTCCAAAAAAGGAAAATGGTGTTATGTTGTTACCAGTCGCATTATTTCCATTACAATGAGTACTTCTTTATTTATACAAATGTTAATACCCACTGATTATGATTGTAATAAGTGTTACTTGATTTTATCCAAAAATAAGAAATAAGGTCTTACTGTCTTGATCATAAGTGTCGAGATCATTAGGTTAGTAAAATTTTAAAAAATTAATATTTTTTCATCAACTAAAACAAATATTTTAAATAAGAATAATTAGATTGTTCTAACTCGTACATTATATATAAAAGGAAAAAAAATAAAAGACAGATGAAAAAATATCTTATTAAACTATTAAAATTTAATTATAATATACATGACTTATGAGATTGGATTACTTTATAAGAAATAATAAAGAGATTTAAAGTGTTTTATTAGATCAAACTCTTTAATCTCTATTAATGAAATAAAAACACTACTAATATAAGTGATGCCTGATTTTATCCAAAACAAAAATAAGGTGTTTTGATAATAACAAGAGTTGAGATCATTAGTTAAGTAAAATTTAAAAAACCTAACACTTTTTCATCAACAAAAACAAATATATTAAATAAAAATAATTCAATTGTTTTAACTCATACACAATATATAAAAAAGGAAAATAAAAGACCGTAATACATTTTTTTTTCTATATAAAGCTGCGAAAAAAGTTTCTAGCATCAATCTCGTTCAAAACTAAAGAATTACAATTTATATTCTATACAATCACAATAGTATATATATTCAGAAAATCAACCCTACATACGTATATTTCAATAAAGCATAGTTCCTATTCTTTTCAATCTTAAATTTTCTGAACTTTTTAAGCTTCCAAAAAATAACTATATCGATGAAAAAACATAACCAATAACCTAAGATCCCAGAAAAAAAAACACAAAAGCATACAAAACAACACAAAAAACACGTATTGGTTAAATTCATCGATTACGTTTTTCTAACGTCTTAAATGAAAAAAAGAATTTCAAATGTTAAATTTATAGTTACATTGATTTTAGACAGTAGTTGGACATAAGCATCAACCGGGATATAAGTTTTTTTTTTTTCTTTTTATACTTATTTGTGATCTAAATTCATGTTTTAAAAAACTAGTATGAGAATATTAAAACTGTTAAGTGAAAGTTGTTGAATATATTAGGAAGTTATATATGGATGATTAGAATTTATATAAATATTAAATTTTTATTTTTGTAAAATATGAACATGTAAAGGCTTATTTAAATCTTAAAGTCACTTCACTTGAATATGCATTCATGTATATACTATATTGTTTTCGATTATTTAATTTTAATCATTTTTATTTGACTATTTCATTCTTTACTTGTGTACTTTTTCTTGTAATTTTCTTTGTTTCAATCATACACTCTTTATTTTAGGGCTTATTTTTACTTTTATATAATTTATTTGCTTCGATCCATTCATTTTTAAAGATTTATTTTCACATTTTTTTTCTTTTCTTTTACTAATTTGTTTCACTTTCCTTTTGCAAAATCTTGAATACAAATTATATTTTGAAAAATATTTTTATTTCTAAAAATATTTGTAAACATTCATCTTATAAAAAAATTAACCATAGAACGATGGTCAAGGATTTACAAGGGAATGCAATATCTCAAACGAAAATATTTATCCTCTTCTTCAAATATTTGTTTGACAAAATTCACCCATAACAAAATACAGACACAAAATAATTTTTTTAATTAGAACTAATGATTTGTTAATCATAACCAAAACCTATGATTCAAAAATTGTTAGAAATAAAACAATGTATTTGTATCTCGAAAATCAGAATAATGTTTATCAGTACTAAAATTGTTGTCAGTGTAAGAAATCTTAAATAATCTAAGATCAAAATACATATCATTGACAATGGAGATCAAATATACAACATATTACAAATATTAAGATTTTGTACAAAATATATAAACAGAATCTCAAAAGCAGTAGAAAAACAATCACAAATAGAGGCACAGTCACAATAGATGCAAGTTTAATTGAAGGTACAAGCAAATATATACCATCACAATTCCAAGCACAAATGCCAGAAAAAATGTAGGCACAAATATAAGAATAAGTAAAAATGAAAATACTTTTGCAATAGCATATACATACAAAATATGTAAACAAAAATAAATATTTTAAGACAAAAATATTTTTTACATTAAACATAACATCACCATCAATTAAAAAATACGGGGAAATAAAAAAAATAAAAATGATGATGTTTTCTTTTTCTATTTTAATCCTGTATGTTGACAACTATGATGCTAAAAGTTTACTTTTTTATTATATTCTTGACTTTCAGTATTTTGGATATGGTAAAATTTGACATACTTTTTACAAATTATTTGACAATATTTATTACACTTTTTTTTATTTAGTTATATTTATTGAATATGTTTGCTATGCATTTTATAAGACACAAATAAGAATATTTAACTTTTTGATAGATTTAGCTTACACATATTACTATGATTTTGTTAAGGATTCGTTAATGATAAATTATTACAGTTTACTACGAATTAATTAGGGATAAATAGGAAATATTTACTACAAATATGTTAGTTAGTAACTTGGTACTACAAATTTACTTACAAATATCTAGAGACAAATAGCTATGAATCTCTTAAAGAATAATTAAAGATTACGGGGAAACCGTTAGAGAATAATTCATCCCTTATTAATTACTTATATTTAGTTATGAAAATTTTCTTTGATGTTTTTTTATTAATTCTTTACAGAATAATTTTGCAAGGAATTAAAAAAAATTAATTAGAAATTATTTCATCACAAATATGTAACTTTTTTATAATGATTAATTGGATTTGATACTAATTTCTGATAATTTACTTGTATATAATATATGGTGAATTTTTATTCTGAGTATCCTCTGAAATAAAAAATAATGGGATAACTCCTCCAACTTATCCATGCAAAACTATTTAGTTTTTACGTTTTTTAATTTATATTATTTTAATGCAATAAACAAGCAAATATACCAAGAGTACATGTATTTTCAGTAACAACAGCAACAAAGAAAACCGGATTTTCGTAAAAAAAATATTGATTTTCACTGAAAATTATTAATTTTATTTAAAACATAGATTATTTTCCGAAAAACATTTGACTTTTCAAAAAACCATTTTTTTTTTCTAAAACATAATTGTCCTGTAAATTTATCACATTTGTTTCCCCGTTTCTACGACAGAGCATTAATTTTCCATGTCAGTAACCAATAAAAGAACAAATTAGCTAAACGCGCAAAAGAACATTCAAGTCCAATTAGAAGAAACCACTTTCAATTTCAGAGTTTGATTTCAGCCGTTTAGTTTGACTTTTTAATATTCTAATTAAATTAAATAGTTTAAAATATAATTTTAGTATTTTAAAATTCATAATACTATTATTCTGAATTTTATTTATGAGATATTACTCTTTTAATGTTATAAAATTTATTATTTTAATATAATTGTTACATATTTTCCCAAATCAAGGTCGATTAATTATGACGAAATATGAAATAAATGAATGACGTAACAAGCAATATATAACTATGTTAAAGTTAAACATTTTCTGCTATTATAGTATAAAGTTTATGATTTTGATTCCTTTCATTAGATGAACAATTTTAGTTTTTCATTAATGTATATTTTGTTGAAAGTTCCTGTGACTGAATCCACGAGAAAACTTGATCAATAGGTGCAATTCTTCAAAGATGAGTTATATGTTCTTGAAAATAGTGGAAAGAGACAAATATTATGTAAGTGCAGAGAAGGAACATGGAAGGAGGAAGATTGAACGTAGCAAAAACGGTAAGGATGAAACATATAGAAATGGAAACAAACATGACACGTGGGGGCGTACGGTCCAACAAAAATAGATATTTGAATATAGAACATTACCGACGTTACTCTCTCTTCAATAATTTATCAAACTGTTCGATCGTATCTCTCCCTTCATTCATTAACAAGGGGGAGAATTTGGCTACTAATCATACAAAAGTAGGTATAAAATTTGTCATGTGAAGGGAATCCAAGTCTGAGTGTAAGTCTCACATTGGATAAAAATGAGAAAGTAGAGTAATTTATAAGTGGGAAGACCTATTAACCCATTATTTTAAGGTTTTGGGTAAAGAGTGGTGTCAATCTCTTATAAGGTTAGACTTTTTTCATATTTATTTAATGTTGACTTCATTATTATGTTTCTTATCCTTCTTTACAATTCCAAAGTCTAAGTTGTTGAGACACAAAATAAATTTTCACGGATTGTCTCGAGAGTGAAGAGAATTTTTATTAGTTAACTTGAAAAAATTTGTGTTGTCGAAAAAGATAATCAAAGACTTTTGTGTGAGGAAATAGAAGAATTTGTGTGGATAATGAGAGAATATTTTAAATTAACATTATAAAATATATATAATATTGTTTATTCGTGACTTGAAAGGCCGATGCAAATTCTAATTAATCTTTCACACTTGGTCATATTACCTAGGTTTATGTCTTACTAAATAATAATAGAAAAATAAACAGTTCTTATTATATGTGAAAAATTATGTTGTTAATGCTACTTGTATCAGTGGGCTACACTTCCAAGTTGTGGTCTATGTTAGGCACAACTTAACTCTTAGGACCACTTGATAAAGACATAAACATCTATTTGTGCACTGAACGTAGAGTAGCATGCATTTGGTAACTATTTTGCTAATGAACACACTTTTAGCTTATTTTCCCTCCTCTCTTTGAGGGGATTGGACATTCTTCCTTTGGTTTCAGTCGCGATGTGAAAGGGAGAGTTTAGATTATTAGGACATTCTTAAAGATCTCTATTTGTTAGAAGTGACCTTTAAGCCTAACTCAATTCCACAAAGTCGGTTTGTAGG